GCAACAGCAGCAGCAGCAGCAGCAGCAGCAGCAGCAGCAGCAGCAGCAACGGCAGCAGCAGCAGCTGGAGGGGGCGCAGCCTAGGGTGTCTGTGATTGTGGAATAATTTGCGGGGTCGTTGTGCGAGTTTTTAAATTGTGTTTTTTAAGTCTTTTAAGCAGAAGAAAGGAGAAAAAGAAAGAAGGAGAGGAGACAAACAGCAGCAGCAGTAAAGAAGGCAGCAGCAGCAGCAGCAGCAAGCCACCTCTACCTGGGGTGTGGAGGGCAGCGCGTCGTTGTGTGGGTGTTTGTTTGTTTTCTTTGTATTCTTTTGTTTGTTTTTATTTGTTGTTTTACTTTTAATTGAGACAAACTCATATTAAAAAAACAGAAAACGGCTGCTTGTTGCTGCAGAAACGCAGCAACCTCTCCTTCTGTTCATCAGTTAGCCTCGGTGCTGCTGCAGCAGACTAGCTGCGGGCCATTGCGGGCTCTGTCTGGGTTTCTTTGTCTTTTTTTCTTTTTTCAATTCAAATTATAACTTTATTTGTTTGTTTTCTTCTTCTTTTTGCCGCAGAAAAGCCCAAAGAAAGGCCGAAACCCCCCCTCCCCACTGCACCGCGGGGTCCTCTTGCTGCTGCGGGTTTGTATCTCTGCTGCTGCTGCTGTTGAGCGCAGCAGCAGCAAGCTGCATCATTTCCTTCAGTTCTTATCTTCTTCTTCTCGCGGCTTCTCCAGCTGCTGCTCTTGCTGCCTGCTGCTGCACTGCTGCTGCTGCTCCTGCTGCTGCTGCTGCTGCTGCTGCAGCCGCGCCCGCCGCTGCTCGCTGCTCCGCTCCTCTGTGTGGGTATTGAGTGTGCTGCCCCCCACTTATATTTCCTTTTTTCTCTTTTAACAAATTTACACACAAACGCGCAGCTCTCGGTATATTTGGAGAGCAGCAGCAGCAGCAGCAGCAGCAACAGCAGCAGCAGCAACCACATCGCGAGCGCACCGCCGCTGGTCCTCTCAGCTCACCAGCAGCAGCAACAGCTACTGCAGCAGCACCCCCAGCAGCAGCAGCACCCCCAGCAGTAGCAGCAGCACCAGCAGCAGGAGCAGCAGCAGCAGCAGCAACAGCAGCAGTGTATCTTGCACAGCTGTAGAGTTGCTGCCTACTCGTGCGGCTTCCATCTGCAGCGCAGCGCCGTTGCAGCGGGGGGCCCCCGGGGCCCTTCAGTGCCCTTCCTGATGATCACGAGACGCAGCAGCAGCAGCAGCAGCAGCAGCAACAGCAGCAGCAGCAGCAGCAGCAGCAGCAGCAGCAAGTCCCCTCGGCTTCCCATGCAAGCCGCGAGACTCTCTCCCGGCCGCGCAACAGCACCGCGTGGGCGCGGTGGGGGCCCAACCACCACCACCCACAGCAGCAGCAGCAGCAGCAGCAGCAGCAGCAGAAAGAGCAGCAGCAGCAGCAGCAGTGATTGATTCTCCGTGTCCCTTCTCCCGGTGGGAAGGAGCAGCAGCAGCGGCAGCAACTGCAGCAGCAGCAGCAGCAGCAGCAGCAGCAACTGCTGCTCCTCCACCCACCCCCTCGTGTTTGTTTATTTTGTTAATTTCTCTGTACTGGCGACGCACAGACTTACTACTTGGTTTATATTTATATATAAATTATATAAATATAAATAAATATAAAAATAAATATAAATATAAATATAAATAAATAAATAAATATATACATATTTCCGTGGCCTGCAGGCGAACAGCACCGCCGCTCTATCCACGCAGCGGCGTTGCTGCAGCCCCCTCCCTCTCCTCTCAGCAGCAGCAGCAGCAACAGCAGCAGCAGCAGCAGCAGCAGCAGCAGCAGCAGGTTGTCTTGATGAAGGCCTCTCAGGGTATATCTGTGGGGCTTCCTGCCTGCAGCGGGGGCCCCGCGTTTGCTGCTGCTGGGGGCCCCCCGCAGCAGCAGCTGAAGGGGCCCCCTGCTGCTGCAGGGCCCCCCCCCGACGACATGTGTGCTGCAGCAGCAGCAGCAGCAGCAGCAGCAGCTGCTGCTGCTGCTGCTGCTGCTGCACCCGTGGTTTTAGATGAGAGCTGCGTGCAGCCTGTCTCTGCTGTACCCTACGCAACCAGCAGCAGCGGGGGCCCCCCCTCAACTCATACTGCAGCAGCAGATGGGGGCCCCCCCCAGGGGGCCCCCGAGGGGGGCCCCCTTGATAGCCTTCAACCCCCGTACCCTTCTCTGGCTGCTGCTGATACAGCTGCTGCCGACGCTTTTGCTGCTGCTG